TGTGATATCTTGGTGGCCTAGGTGCTAGGAGATGCAGGGAACACTGGGTTTCATGCCAGGGAGCTGACCCTGGCCACCCTAACAGGTGGACAGAGGGGACATCGAGACTGGAGTCCCCAGAACATTCCAGGGACACCTCGAGGAAGGGTGCGGAGCCAGAGAGGGCTCTATGTGTGGAAGTGACTCAATCGCTTGTGATGGCTGTCATGTTGTCAAGAGTCCTAGGTGACCGAGGTGTGGTCATGATATGTGAGATTTACTGCACAATGGTCGGGTGTGGGTGTGGGGTGTTAGGTGCAAGCAGAGAGGAATTGCATGGCCCCAAGGGTGGGCCAAGGCAGGATGTGGATGTGTGGGGCCTATTTGCTCTACTTTTGTATATGTTTTGAAATTTTAAAAGTTTTAAAATAAGTGACTTTGGCTAAATGGTGAGAACAAGCTCTGATGAGAAGAAGAAGCAGGAAGTCCACCAAGGGAAGGAAAAAGTAGCCCCAAACCAAGGCCCTCGTGTTAATCTCAACACTCTAAGATTACTTCCCCAATAATACTGACGCTTCATATTTGCTTCTATAGTCTTTTTTCATGTAGCATTATTTTCATGATCATCTTTTCCTCCTCTTTTTTGTTTTTGTTTTTTGAGACAGGGTCTCACTATGTAGTTGATACTGACCTGGAACTCACTATGTAGCCCAGGCTGGTCTTGAGCTCATAGCGATCCTCCTGCCTCAGCCTCCCGAGTGCTGGGATTACAGGTGTGCACCACCAGGCCTGACTCTCTTTTTCTTCTTGAGACAGGGTCTTGCTAGTAGCCCAGGCTGACCTCAATCTGTCGATCATCCTGCCTCAGCCTCTTACGTGCTAGGATTACAAATGTGAGCCTCCATGCCTGACTTTCTTCTGTCATTTTTGAGTACAATAAAACACCCCATACTTCAGGTGGAACATAACTCATAAAACACTGACATCATTTCCAATTGTTTCACTATTGTGACCATCACTATCCTAAGTCCTGAGATGATAAATATTTGCTTGCTGTCCAACTTCCTCCAGTCAACTATGTGGGGGAGAGTTTGCACGATTTTTTGATCATCTGCTTGATCTTGCCAAGCTGCCCTCCAGAGGGGTTGCATGGACCCATGCACCAGTCTCCTTGCCCTGCCAGCCCCAGGCAGGCACGATCCCTCACACCCACTCTTCCTGAAAGGCAAGGACTCCACGCCAGGTCACAAGGTGTAGGGACCTGTTTCAGACACCTCTGTCATTGCCCAGGCAGTCTCAGCTCCTTTTTCCTGCCACTCCAAAGGGCTGAGCAGCAGTGGCTCTGGACACTGAAGAGCAGTTAGAGACAGTGAAGAGGTGGGTCCCCCAGAATGCCGTGGAGCAGCCGTCAGCCCCCTCTTCCTCCTGCAGTGTCTGTGAGTAGACACAGGACGTGCTCCAGGCTTGGCCTTCGCTGAGGCCTGGAACAGAAACCAGGGTGGCCACTCCAGGGGTCACCTTCCTACACAGATTTCCCTCTTCCCACTGGGCCCATGTCAGGTGGTGTGTTCTAGTATTTCCTTTTTTTCCTTTCCTTCTGCTCTTTTTTTTGAGTGGGGACAAGGTCTCGTTACATAGCCCAGGCTAGCCTGGAACTCTCAGCAATCCTCCTGTCTCAGCCCCCCCCCCCAAAGACTGCTATCAGGCGGAGGCAACAGTGTGGGGAGCTTCTCCTTTGTCCTTCCTGAACTGAGCAGTACAAGGGTGTGACAGCCCCTCACACAACCACCCACCCTCCTTCCTGGGGGCAGTCTGGGCACAGAGCCCAGTGGGGCAGCCATCAGCCTGGGCAGAATAGACTGGCCAGCTCCTGCGAGTGCTGCCACCACAGGGGACATGGAGGGGCAGTACCAGCCAGAGATCACGCTGGGCACACGGCGGGGCTGAGGAAAAGAACTGGAAGCCGTTAAGACACAGTCTGGAAGGGCTGCCAAACACAGTGCAGCCAAGGGAAAATGGCGGGGGGTACAGCACAGAGACAACAGGAGGACAGCTAGGAGCCAGGCCGGGTGAGTTTCCGTGTCTACTTCTTTGCATCCCTTGAATGCTCTGTCAATTTAAGAAATTAAATATAATAAAATCTCTACATAATTAACACTCATTCAAGTGAGGAAGCCTCTCCCCTAGCAAAGCTCCTGGTCCAGCCTGGTGTTGACTAGGGAAGCTGAGGCAAGAGGGTCATGGCTAGCATGGGGTACACAGTGAGAACCCCTCTCAAATAAATAAATAAGAAACCCAAAGCTCCTGGCCCAAGGCAGCAGCCCAGGAAGGCATCTGTCCCAAGGGCAGATGAAGGACATCCTACTTCATTCACTCTGTAGCACTAAAGGCCACTTCTGCTGGGCCCTGGATCAACAGACCCTGCGAAGACACAAGTCTCCCACACTGTAGTCCCCGTGCTTGCCAGAGGAACAATTAGTGTTACAGGTTTGGCCCATGACAAAGGCTGCTCAAGATCTATTGCAAAAGGATGATGATTTATAGGAAAAAAGCTATTTGGTCCACTAGCTCTTTGGGGGTGGAAAACATCGAGTTAGATACTTGTCTCCTACTTAGGAGAGATGGGTTCCAGACGGGAGGAAACTGCTGGGAACAAGGTTATGAAAGTCCTGGGAAGAAACAGGATGAGTTTCTTTGTGGGCTTAGAGAGGGGAAGGCCTGCTATGCAGGACACAAAGGCTTCATTACACAAGAATCTGGCCATCTCTGCACTACCCATGCCCCTCTCCTGCACCTCTAAGTCTGATCTAAAATTTAAAAATTACTGTTGGCATGGCAGCCACACACATATCATCTGAGCACTCAGGAGGTGTAGGAGGATTGTCCTGAGTTTGGGGCCAGCCTAGGCTACATAGTGAGACTGTCACAAAAAAACTAAAATAAAAAATAAAAACCAGTAAGAAAACGTCCAGTTCACTAGATAAAATCATACACAAAGATTTAAAAAATGACAACTTACAAGTATATACATAAAAATGACAATTTACAACCTTAGGAGAAACACACAGGGCAATACAATGACTGCAACGTGTATGGTGAGTATTACATACACCAATGTAGTTAAGAAGATAAATTACCTGACAGAGGAATGGATAAGGAACCCTACAGGTAATTTAATAGTTAAAGAAACACAACAGAAAAAGATGCTCACTTTCACTAGCAATCAGGGAAATAAAAATCAGAGTCACAGAATGATATCTTTCATTCACCAGATTGACTACAACTTAAAAACAGAACTGAGAAGATGCAGTGTTAACAAGAATATACAGAAACAGCCATTTTTACAATTGCATGGTGGTATATTAACTGGTGTAGCTTTGGTTTTTTAGTGCAAAATTTAAATAGACAGAATTTAGGACTGTAATTTTCTTTCCAGCAGTTCATCTTAGAGAAGTATTAACAGAGATGCCCAAAGCTGGTACATGTGGACAGTCCCCAGGGGAACACCCAAGGCCCACTAGGGAATACTGCACTGCTATAAAAATGAGGTACATCCCAGACACACATACACAGATGTGTAAGGTGTGTATTTGAGGAAAACAACCCCAAGCAAAATGGCCCTGTGAAGCAATGGGAGTCAGGCTGGACCACACAGGCCTTGGCAACAGTCTCAGGCTGTGGTCCTGGGTGGGCAGATAGCAGGGAGAATGGCAAGGCAGGGCCAGAACACACACAGGTGTCTGTGGAGTACACTGCCTTTGGGCAGGAGGAGGGGCAGACAGCTCTATGAGCTCCAGAGGAGACAAGAAACCATAGCAAGAGGGGATGGGAAGGATGTAGACTAAGGACTTTTCTTTTTTGGCACTGGGGTGAAACTCAGGCTTTTCACACTGAGTTCTACCCCCAGCCTATTTTTAAATTCTGAGACAGAGTTAGCTAAGGTCCTAAATTGCCCAGGCTGGGCAACACCTTGCAGTCCTCCTGCCTCAGCCTCCCAGAGTGCTGGGATTACAAGTAGGCACTTCCACACCTGGCAAAGCACAGGACTGAGGGATGAGAAGGATAATGATTTGGCTGTAGAGGAACCTCTAGAACTACCATTTTCAGCCTGGCCAACAGAACAGGGACCAGGAGGCAGGGCTGAGCCTCTTCAGAGATGGAAGAAATCCCAGGGTGTGGGGCAGGGCTCCCAATGCCTGGTTCTTTCAATGCAGCGTGAAAGTTGCCCTTTGGGACGGTGGAGAGGCCACTACTTTCAGCCAGGCTCACAGCAGTAACTACAGCTGGGCCTGCTCTTCAGAGTTTCCCTGGCTGGGCCTCATATGACAGTGGGTGTCTGTCCTTGAGCTGTGCACAGAAAGAGAGCAGCAGGGATCAGCCCTGTGGGCAACCTCTCTGGGCTGGCATGGGAGTGGTCCGCTCTGGAGAGGCAAGGCCAGCTGTGCGCCTTTATCCCTTTTTCTTTTGGGTTGTACAAGAATGGAATCCAGGACCTCATGCCTGCTAGGCAAGCTTTCTCCCACTCAGCTACATACCCAGACCTTTTTAAAAATTTTTGAGACATGGTCTAAGTTGCCCAGGCTGACCTCAAACTTGGGATCCTCCCGCCTCAGCCTCCCCAAATAGCTGAGATTACAGGCATGCATCACCATGTCTGGCTCAGCCAAGTGATTTATCTCCTCCTGGGCTGAACTGTTTACCTTGTTCATTAGCAATCATTCAAAAAGAATTTCCTAAGCACCAACATCCTGTCAGATACCCTAACAATATACCTGCTCTTGTGGAAGAGCTGAGGAGGGAGAGGTAGCCACATAGTAAGGTAATTCTGGCAGAGAGAAATGCTACGCAGAGGGCAGAACCATAGGGATGGCACTAGAGGGATGGGGAGGACAGGCACTGTGGGCAGCAGCTTGCTAATGAGACTGCACTAAGAGAATCGGGCTTTTTGAGGTCTGTTTGTAAAGAAGTCATCAGTGCTCTGTATTTCTGGCTCTGACTAGTGGGAGAGAGGAGGTACCCACCTGGCCCTGGTGGTCACGTCCAGGAAGAGCTGCACAACGGCCAGCAGGTTGTGGTGGTGGTCGGACACCCAGCTGAGGGTGTGGCACAGGTGCTGCAGCTGCAGGGACAGGGACAAGGGTGGGCTGCAAGGGATGCTGCCTCTTACCTGCCATTCTGACCTGCCACCAGCCCACTACCTGGGTGAGGAAGTAGGGAGGTCAGCCCTTAGAGCAGCGCCACACACCTTGCCGGGCCACTCCCGGATACACTCCAGCAGCTGCAGCAGAAGTTGCTGGAGGTCAGTTTTGGGTAACAGGCGGAGCCCCACATCTAGGCTGGTGCGACACAGAAGCTCAATGAGGTCCAGGAGGCTGATATCGGTGTAGATCCCAGGCCGGGTATAGACACACAGCGTCAGGAACTGGAAGGAAGGAGCACTGGGTGGGATGGCCACAGTTGGGGAATGGGGACAGTGAGGACAGGAACCCCTCAGGCCAGGCTGAGTGGGAACAGAGAGAACAAGTAGTGAGGTTCAGCTGCTGGACAGGATGGCAAAGACAACTCACCTTGTAGATGTAGTTCAGGCTTATGTCCAGGGCCACCTCCTGGGGCAGGTCCTGCTGCTCCCGGTCCTCCTGGTCTGCCATTCTAAAGAAAGACAAAGTCAGCAAGGACACGATGGTGGGGCAGTCACAGAAGCTGGGCACATGGGGCATGGGACAGGGCGGGGGACTCCAGAGACCTGGCTGTCCATGGCTACTGCTGCCATGCATGGCAGATCACCCCACACACAAAGGCATGAAGAGATGCTGATTATCTCATGCAGGTCCAGGAGCCAAGAGTCAAGAGGTGGCTCAGGAGTGTGGCCCAGGGTCTGGATGGGGTGGCTCTCAAGATGCTGGATGGGCTGAAGTCACTTTGCCCTGCCCAGGCTCAATCATGGGGTCATCAATTGTTAGCTGCTGGCTCCTCAGCACAGGAGCCTCTCCCAGGCTCAACAGGGCAGCTAGCTTTCCCAAAGGTAGTGAGGTGGGGACAGAGACAGAGAGATGAAGAGACAGAGAGACAAAGAAGGGGGGAAGGACAGGGTGAAAGCCAAGGTGAGCATGGCCTATCCTAACCTCACCCTGCAGGGACCCCTGACACCCCACTGACCTCCCCAAGGTGTGGCAGAGATCCCTATAGGGACAGTGAAGGCTCCTGCTGCAGCCTGGGGTCCTGCAGACCCCCGTGTACTGCCTCCTCCCGCCCCCCTCCAGGTGAAGACCGGAAGGGCACCTGGCCCTATGAACCTCCAGGAGGGGTGCACTGGGCCTGACAAAATGTGCAGGGACAAACTCAGTGAGGTGGGGTCCTCAGGCATGGAGAGTGCCCAGTGAAGCAGCCAGGGCCGGAGTCACACAGGGTGGGGAAGCTCACAGCAAACAAGGCAGTAGCAGATGGCGGTCATACCACACAGGCCCTGGGCAGAAGACAGAGCAGCCGAGGCTCCCACTAACTCCTCCTCTGGTCAAATGTCGGTTGCTGATTTCAAATAAGCAACTTTGTGACCAAGAATAATGGGCTCCACTGTGGTCACAACCATGGGACTGGAAGAGTACCACTCTTGTTTTTGCTGGATTTTGTTCTTGTTTTGAGCCATAGCTTTGCTATGTAGCCCAGATTGGCCTTCAACTCCTGGCAATCCTCCTGCCTCAGCCCTGAGTGCTGGGACCACAGGTATGCGCCACCAAGCCTGGCTGAGAGCATCAGTCCTAGAGCTTTTGGGGACAAGTCTCTGTTCTTCATGTCCTGGCGCTAGTGCCACTTCTCAGAGGAGAAGAGGACAGATCCATCTCCTAGGTACCTGGAAAGTTGGCATCGCCAAATCAAAGCTGGTAGAGGAGAAGGCTGAGGCTGGACCCTTCCCGATTTAAGTGCTTCTTAGGGCGGTGCATGGGTGGGGCTGGTGTCAGCATCCAAGATGCAGGCCAGGCTTGTGCCAGGCGTGAGGGGGTGCCCCTATCAGTGTAGGGATACACAAGCCTGCCAGGCAGGTTTCCAGGGCTCCCAATGGCTGGGCAGCCTCTCTGCTATACAGTCAGACTGGTTATCAGCCACCCTGCCGCTGCCAAAGGGAGGAGTGGAGGAAATATGAGGGAGCCACACATCTTCCTGTGCTGCAAGAAGTGTGGCTATGATAGAGCCCTTGTTTCCCGCCACCTAAAGAGGAAAAGCCAGCCTCCAAAATGAGTGACTGCCAGGCTCTCCCCAAGCCCCATCTTGGGGACAGTGCTATGAGTTGTCTCCTGACCACCATCCTGATACACCTGTCCCCAGGCTCCATCACCAGTGTGAGGTCACAGAGCACAGGACACTAGCAGCATGGTGGACCCGCTCCCCTCTTGGGCACAAGATGTTCAGAAAGACCTGAGGCCCCACAGTCGGACCCCACAAGCCAAGTGGCCTCGCTGGAGTCCTGTTGTCCCCAGCCCCAGGATTAGGGCTCTGTGACCAGCATCCAGGAGCTAGAATCTGGGTCTCATCACACCACTCTGCCCTCATGAAGTGACTGTCACAGGGGCACACTGCTAGTCCCTGCCTGTGCCTCCACATTTGGGTTACAAATGGTGACAGAGTCCATCCAGTGCTGTGACATTCACAGGGAAGAGGGTAAATGCAGGGTCACCACTTCCACAATTGAGAGTCACCTGGTGGCAGGGAGGGCACTGTCCATCTGTCCTCTATGCCACAGCCACATCAGAGCTGTCATTGAGAGGAGTCTACATTGAGCTAACGGAAGGGGGTGGGGGACATCTTACCTGGACCAAACCATACTGTTGCAGACTCCAGTTGCTATGGCCTCTGTGCTGGAAAGAAGATCCTTTCCATGTGCAAAGTGTCACTCATTTACCCCCTGGCCTTGTACAGGGTGGCCCTTGCTGAGGATCAGATGTCCTTGGCCCTGGCCCCAGACCATGGCGCTCTAACAGATGGCCTTCATGGTTCAGGGGCAGGGCTGCATCTTTCTTTCTTTCTTTCTTTCTTTTTGGTACCAGGGATTAAACTTGGGCCCTTGCGCTTGTGAGGCAGGCAGCGGAACCACTGAGCCAAATCCCCAGACTGCATCTTTCAAAAGGAATTTTTTCTTGAGACAGGGTCTCATTATGTAGTTCAGGCTGGTGTTGAACTCACTGTGTGGCCCAGGCTGGCCTTGGATTCCTGGAGATCCTCCTACTCCAGCCTCCCGAGGGCTGGGACAGTTCTAACACCACCTGCTCCATGCAGCACAAAGGTCAGAAAGCAGTTGAATCTTGGTGAAACTGGGACAGAAGTGGCTCTGCAGAGTGGAATGTAGTCAAGGTAGTAAAGGCCCCAAGGTCACTTCAATTATAAGAGGGACACCTGTGACTCCTTGGATCCGCTCCTCTGTGTCCTCCCTTGAGGTGAATTTGGTTTGAGTGCCCCAGAGACTGAGGCAGGAGGATCTCTGTGAGTTGGGAGCCGGCCTGGGCTTCAAGCGAGTTCAAAGGCAGCCTTAAGTACATAGTGAAACTGTCTCAAAAAACCAGTAACACTAAACCCAAAACTCCCCAATTCTTGGGCTGGGGTCTGAGTGCAAGGAGGGAAAGACATGGGACCCACCTGCTGCAGGGACCCAGTGGGCATACGGCAGGGCTGTGGGCACCCAGGCTCTGGAACAGCTCGGTCACCTCCTGTGGCAAGGGGTACCAGGGTTGCATATCCTCTTCTGCAGGGCTGGTGGGGGGCAGCAGGGAAGCCTGACCATCCTGGGGTCCAAGTCCTTCACAGCTGTGCGTGTCACCTTCAGAATGGAAGCAAGCAAGGATCTGTGGAAGCTCGCTGGAGCTTTGGGACCCTGGCGATATAGAGGCGCAGTTAGTGCAGGAGTCCAGGACACAGGAACATGGGGTCTACCATCCCCTTGCTGTGACACCAGGCTGTGGTGTTCCTGGCAAAGGTGAGGTGTTGGGGCGGTCCCTCCAGACCCACTGAGCACACCACCACCACCATAATCTGTGCACATGGATGAGAGGACAGGCTGAGCATTGGGGCCTTCTCTCCTCTCCACTCGGACCTGTTAAGGACATCTGAGAGCAACAAAGAATGATGGTGCAGCTACACACTGTGTCAAAGTTGCCCACTGAGAGAGTTCCATGTAGGAACAGGCTGATCCCACATCCCCACCCCGGCATCCTGTTTATCAGACCTCTGTCTCTCCCTGGATTTTGCTTCTGTTTTCTTGTTTTGTTTTTGAGAGAGGGTCTCACTCTACAGCCAGGCTGGCCTCTGATTTGTGATAAGGAGCCCTGGTGCTGGGGTGAAAGGCAGACGTCACCACTGCTGCTGGTTACCACCACTGGTCTCTCCCTGTTAGGATGCACGTTTACACTGAGGCGGGCCACACCCACGTTGGGAGAGCACCCAATCAGATCAGTAAGTGCAAGTGAGAGCCAGGCATGGTGGCACAGGCCTGCAATCCCATTACTCAGGAGGCTGAGGCAGGAGGATTGCCACAAGTTTCAGGTCAGCCTGGGCTACAGAGTAAGACCTTGTCTCAAAAAACCAAAAAGAAAAATAAATGTAAGTGAGTATCCTGCAAAAGCCATCAGGTAAGAGGCCCAGAGCCTGCTCAGCAGAGACAGGAGCTATGGGTGGGGAGGGGCCAAGAGAGGGCACCCATCACTGCGAGTGGCAAGAGACAGACTGGACAAACTCAGGGTGGCATGAGAAAGCCTGGCAGGTCTGGGCAGAGGCAAGATGGGCACAGAGCCCAGAGGCTGGACTGGACAGGACTTCCACAAGGACCCATGAGAAAGTATCCTAAAGTCAAAGAGGGCCGCTTTGGCTGGCGGTTTCTGAGCCCAGCATCAAGTGTCTCTCTGGAAATGTGTATAGGTTGGGACTCACCAAACAAGTAATTAGACTCTGGGAGGAGGAAAAACTTTCTCCTGAGTGTCGTTTTTCCCTCTCGGGCAACTGAACACAGAAAGGAGCAGTAATGATAGCCTTGCCCACCTCCAGATATCCGGGACAGTGGAGTCCACAGGAGACAATAAGGGTGCACTGGGAGAGGGACATTGGCTGCATATGCACGTGTGCACACATACACAATGGTGTGCATGCACTGTCTACGTGTACGTGCACTGTGTACTGTGTGCATGCACACAGGGTGGACAGTGTGCCCTGCAGGGAAGGGCAGAGAATCCATGTGGTGCCAGCCCAGCCACCCCAAGCCTGGGCCTGACCCTGACTCCCATCCACAGTTATCCCAACTGCAGGTGGAGCAGTGTCAGAAGGGCCGGGATGCCCTCAACACATCGGTCCCTGTGCAGAGCCCGGGAGCTGACTACACGATGACAGGAACACACACCCAAGCCCATAATTAACGGTGCCATAAGTAGGCCATGTGCTCAGCTTTTCCCAGCTGTCTATCCCAGATGAGGGCTGCTGGAGCGCTGACGCAGAGAAAAAGCTGCATGCACTGCTGCCGGGCTGTCTCCCTGACTTGGATTCTCCGTGTCATTCTGGGTGACAATCAGGAAGGACCCAGAGCCAGCAGCCCCGAGCGGAGTTGAGGCTGGCTGGCCCTCAAGGGGCTCCCTGACAGAGATAAGGCTTGGGGTGGGGGTACATCTGGCTTAAAATAAAAGTGTCTGGAGGCCTGCACCCACTGCTGCCTGGGCCCCCTGCCTGCCCCAAGTCCACCCTGGCGCGGCAGGTGTAATGGCACAGGACAGGTCTTCAGGATGCAGGTTCTGTTCTTTTTTTGTTTCTCCAAGACATGGTCTTGCTATGTAGCCTAGGCTGGCCTGGAACTGAAGGCCTCAGTCTGCTGAATCCTTTGATTTCTTGTCTCTCTCTTTACCCCAGATTCCACAGTGCCCCAGGAGGAGGGCCCATGAGTCCTCATGAAGGCTGGGAACTGGTTCCTAAAGGAAGGACTGAGCCACAGTACTCACTGGGGGATGCGGCTCTGGACATTCATAGGAAACCCAAAATCTCATCATCTCTACCTAGCTCTAATGATTAACTTCCCTCAGGTTTAAATCCTTATATTGGAACTAGCTTCAGCATTACTGGCTTCAGTTGATAAGCTTTAGCTTTAGTCATTTAAAATGTCTATTCACTTAGCAAACATTAATGGACAGTGGCACTGTTCTGAATATATTGGGGACCTGGCAGCTAGCTCAAGGGATGGAACCCCAGAGACACACACCCAGCTCAGGCTGAAAGCAGACCCAGGGGAGGGGCCAAGGGTGACACTGGCACAGAGGGCAGGCAGATGGGGTGGGGGGTCAGTGTCATCACCGGACCCTCGAAATCCTTCATCAAGTCTGTATTTTAGTCTTTTTCTTAGGGGTGCTGAGAATGAAACCCAGGGCCTCACACATGCTACACACATGCTCTGCATGGAGCTTTAACTCAGCCCCCATCTGTATTTCATTTTTTTTTTTTTAACTTTTTTGAGACAGGATCTCACTGTATGATCCAGGCTGGCCTTGAACTCACTATGTAGCCCCGGTTGGCCTCCAATTTATAGCAGATCCTCCTGCCTCAGGCTCCCGAGTGCTAGGATTATAGGTATGCACCACTATGCTGGGTGAAGGTGCCTTTGTTTCTCCTTTCTCCCCCATGGCTCTTTGCCTGAGGCCCACCCTCTGGTGCCTGGCTACCTCCCACAGTGCCCAAGATCCCACATACCCCCTCCCCCTCCGCTTGCCTCTGACGTGTTTACTCCTGGGACCTCAAGCACAGAGTAGGTGACACCGCTGTTCTGGGACACCTCTCCTCTCTCCACCTCCTGTAACTCACACCCCTGTCCCCTGTCACCTGACACGACCCAACCACAGGGCCCCCAACACAGGGCAGAGTTCACTGTGCTGGACCACAGAGCCATGAACACCTTTGAGGGTCAGGTCTGCCTGCAAATAACAGCTGAAAAACCAAAACAATACAGAAGTCCGCCTGGGCTTAGATAAGTTAGAATTTTATGTCTCTGATGAAAAAGCCCAGCATGTGGCCAGGACACAGCCAATGCAGAGACCCCTGAACCTGCCAGATGCTGGGTGCCCATCTTTCTGCTCTGTTGTTTTCAGACTCTGCCTCCCCAGTTCAAGGTCACCTCATGGCTTGGATGGCTGCTAGAGGGCCAGCTATCACATCTAAACTCTAAGAAACCACTGTCTCACTTTGTCACCTAAGTATGCACTGTTGGGTGGTTTTAAGGATGCAAGGTCACTTGGGGTGACTCAAGAGTTAGTGCCAAACCACCCTCCATGTTCAAAAAGTAAGTATTTGGAGCCAAGCATGGTGGCACATGTCTGTAACCTCAGCACTTTGAGGCTGAGGCAGGAGGATCACAGCCAAGTTTGAGGCCAACCTGAGCCACATGGAGTAGCAAGACACTGTCAATAAATAAATAAGATCCTGTCAATAAATCAATAAATAAGAGGACTGGGGAGCCAGCTCAGAAGCCAGCGCAGCAGTGCTCAGGCCTGTGCATACTTTGGGGTCACTCAGGCAGCTTTGGAAATAATGGCTCCCCAGGTCCCTCTGCAGCAACTTGTGTAATAAGCCTGGGTAGAGCCCACAGTTCTCCACCCAGTGCTTGCCCTCATCATGTAAAAGTTCCATGTGGTCACTCAGAGGCTGAGGAAGGAGGACTGCAAGTCAGCAGCTAGCCCGGGTAACTTAGTGAGACCCTGTCTCAAAATAAAATAAAGGACTGAGGTGTGGCCAGGGCAGAGTACTTGCCTGCCATGTTTGAGGCCCAGATCCCCACACCCAGGCTATGCCTCAGGCAGGATGCAGGCCTTGAATCCAGGACCCACACTCTCGCGCTGAGCTGCATCCCAGCCCTCCTTATTCTTTTTTGTGGGACTAGCATTAGTGCTGCACCACCTCCCTAGGCCTTCTTTATTTTTTATTTTGATTTTGAGACAGAGTCTTATTGAGTTACTAAATGCCTAGGCTGGGCTGGACCTTGTGAGCCTCCTGCATCAGCTTCCTAAGTAGCTAAGATTAGAAGCAGATGCCACTGTGGCTCACCTAGAACTTTTTAAAGCTCAGCCACAGCTAAAAACTGCCATGGTAAGAGGCTAAGTCCTCAGGGAGCCAGCAGCCCTTCTGATCTAGGTCTAAAAGTCAAATATTAAGAAGCGCCCTCCACAGTCAAGTCTTGTACAGAGAGAGAATAACTCTCTGTCTCTCTCTCACTCCGGTTATGTGGTGTTGTTGAGACAGGGTCTCACCTTATAGTTCAGGCTGGCCTTGAACTCACTATGTAACCTAGGCTGGCCTCAAACTCACATTGATCCTCTTATCTCAGCCTCCTGAGTGCTGAGATTACTGGTAGAACCCAACACACCCAGTTCTCTTTGGGTTTTTTGAGACAGGGTCTCACGATGTAGCCCAGGCTGACTTCAAACTTGGAACGGTTCTCCTGCCTCACCCCCCTGTATATCACCTGACTACACGGGAAAGAGCTGTTGCTGTCTGCTGCTGACACTGCTTTGGCTCCAAGTGCTACTCATTCAGCAAACCCCTACCCAGGGCAGCTACGAGCCATACAAGCAAAGGCTAGAACTAAAACCAACGTAGACATGATCCCATCACTCTGGAGAGCCCAGCCCCTGGGCAAGGCAATACTAAAGTATCTGCAAACTAGCATGACCCAAGGCCCAGAGAGAGAAAGGGGGCTGAGAGCACAGAGAAGGGGGCTAGGATGAGGGATCAGTGCAGGGCCTCCAAGACACTGCAGACTCTGGAGGGAGTGACAGGGTTAAGAAGGAAGCCAGGCCATTGCTTCAGGTAGCAAAAATGGTGCATGCAAAGGTCCTGGGGCAGGAAAAAAAG